CTAGGAGAATGTAATAACATTACATCAAAAGTTATGATTTGGAGTTGGTCTGTTTGTCCAGAATGTAAGGGCCAATGAATATGTCACATTTTCCATTCACAATACTTCTCCCAGGAGAGATTTCTGTGCTTAGTTACATACACAAATCTACAGCAGAAAAGCTCTATTGACCATAATAAATTTCCCTGCCAAAGAGAAGCTGGATAATTGAATTTGGGATGGAGGTGCATTTTGGAAGGAGGCTTGGTAATAAGGGATGGACAACTCAGCATTTTCCTTTTTGTGGAAAGCACTTGTCTTTTATATTTTACCAGTTATTTGCAAGTACCAGCTAACTGGGTCTTGTAGACACTCTTACTACATGTGGGTTACTTTTAACAACGAAGTACAAACCACACATGTGTTACTCAGATTATATCAAGAAACCAATGGCCATTGGTGGTGAACAAGGAATATAATATTTTGGTAACATTTGATGTGAGATCTTTTACAATATTCCTCTGTGGGGAACACCTTTAAACAAGAAAGGGCACAACACCCATTCACAGGTTTGTTAATTCATTATTATTATTATTATTATTATTATTATTATTATTATCTTTATTTATACCCCGCAAAATCTCCCGGAGGACTCGATGTGGCTTACAAAGGCCAAGGCCGCCGACAATCAACAACATACAATACACAATAAACTCATAAGCAAATAATAAACATCAAGCAAAACAATAGAACAATAGGACAATAACACCGTGACGCAATTAAAACCTAAAGGCCGGACCAATGTAATGGACAAAATTTAAAAATGATGAACTTGACAGGTAATATGTAGAGGTATATGGAGATAGGTGCAATGTGCAGATAAACCTGAATCTCTAGCAAAGTGCCAGGAGTTTCCTATTCTGGAAAGGCACACTGGAACAGCCAGGTCTTCAGGCTCTTCCTAAAGACAGTCAACGTTGGGGCTTGTCTGATGTCCTTGGGGAGAGAGTTCCAGAGTCGGGGGGCCACCACAGAGAAGGCCCTATCCCTCGTCCCCACCAAAAGCGCCTGCGACGCAGGTGGGATCGTGAGCAGGGCCTCTCCAGATGATTGAAGGGAGCGTGCGGGTTCGTAAACGGAGATGCCTTCACGCAGGTAGGCAGGTCCCAAACCGTTTAGGGCTTTGTAGGTGAGCACCTGCACCTTGAATTGGGACCGGAAAATGAACGGCAGCCAATGGAGCTCCTTGAACATTGGAAGAAACTGTATATGAATAATTTTTCCGTAGTAGAAAATTCTAGTGGCAGAGCAAGAAAATAAGTCAGGAAGTGAAACTTTGCAGGTACTGAATCTGGGTGGGAAATGCACCCGTTCTTCTTCCAGTAGGGCTCCTAGTTATGAAATCCCATGTTAAAAGGCTACTATATACTTTCAAGCACAATTCAAAGTGCTAGCTTTAACCTATAAAGCCCCAAACGGATCTGGCCCAGTTTACCTGTCCAAACGCATCTCCCCCTATGAACCATCTTGGAGATCAAGAGCAGGGGAGGCCCCGCACTTGGTCCTGCCTCCTTCACAGGCATGACTGGTGGGAATGAGAGACAGGGCCTTCTCAATAGTGGCCCCTAGGCTCTGGAACTCCCTTCCCAGTGAAATTAGTTCAGCACCCTCCCTCCTGGGCTTCAGAAAAAACATAAAGACATGGCTATAGGACCAAGCCTTTGGACAGTAAAGTAATGCAGTACAAGAAATGAATAGGAAATAAGTGCAATTTCACAATAGGAATGGCCTTCGGATTATGATGTGATTTTAATGCTTTATTAATGCTTTATTAAGCTACCTATCCGAACGTATCTCTGTCTATGAACCCACCAGGACTCTAAGATCTTCTGGGGAGGCCCTGCTCTCAATCCCCTCAAGCACGGCTGGCGGGGACGAGGGACAGGGCCTTCTCTGTGGTGGCCTCTCGGCTGTGGAACACCCTTCCCTTGGACATTAGATCAGCCCCTTCGTTAATGGTGTTTCGGAGAAAACTAAAAACCTGGCTGCTTGAACAGGCGTTCGGATAAACGGTGCAATTGTACATGATGAATATAGGATACGGAATTTGGACGACGAATTGGATCATGATTCTAGTTACGAGACGTTAATGTGTTGGTATTGATGTGTTATTACCCTGTATATTATGTTGTTTAATGGTTTTTTAAATTTTTTATGCCTGTTGGATTGACTTTTTGCTCTTGTTGTGAACCGCGTTGAGTCGCCTATGGGCTGAGAAACTGCGGTATACAAGCAAAGTAAATAAATAAATAAATAAAAAATTATTAAGATGTTTTAATTCTAGATTTAATTGTTTAAATGTCTGTTTATGTTTAATATGATTGTAACGATTTAATTTATAGTTATACTAGCCGTGCCCTGCCATGCGCTGCTGTGGCCCAGTCTGGTGATCTGGAAAATAAAGCAATGGTTTCTAATTTATGTAATTTCTTTATGCTTGTGGGTAAACAGTATTTCTTGCTGTTTCTTTGTCAGTGTTGATGTGGAGAGTGTCTGATTTGCCCACCCTGGAATATGCAACATATCATTATCCTTCTTTAGGGGTCCCTTTCAAATCTATGATATTATCTCTCTCTCTCTCTGTGTGTGAATCATATATATATCAATCTATATAAATGGCTGGATGGCTCTTTGTCAGGAGGGCTTTGATTACATTTTCTTGCCCTGGTGAAGAGAGTTGGACTGGATGGCTTTAAGTATTTTCTGTTGGTCATGGGGGTTCTGTGTGGGAAATTTGCCCCAATTCTGTCGTTTGTGGGGTGCAGAATGCTCTTTGATTGTAGGTGAACTATAGATCCCATTAACTACAGCTTCCAAATGACAAGGTCTATTTCCCCCAAATTCCATCTGTGTTCATATTTAGACATATGGAATATTTGTGCCAAGTTTGGTCCAGATCCATCATTGTTTGAGTCCACAGTGCTCTCTGGATGTAGGTGAACTATAACTCCCAAACTCAAGGTCAATGTCCACCAGACCCTTCTAGTATTTTTCTGTTGGTCATGGAAGTCCTGTGTGTCACCTTTGGTTCAATTCTATCATTGGTGGAGTTCAGAATGCTCTTTGATTGTAGGTAAACTATAAATCCCAAGAACTACAACTCCCAAATGACAAAATCAAACAATTTTGAGTGAAGACCATACATTGGGTTATTGGGTGTATTGTGTCCAAATTTGGGGTCAATTCGCCCACTGGTTTTTGAGTTCTGTTAATCCCACAAACGAACATTACATTTTTATTTATATAGATGTTATTGTTTTAGTTATTACGCTTTAGTTTTGTATATATATTGACATCAAATCTTGCCATTACTTGTTGTGCACCACTTTGATGTCCTCCCAGGGGTGAGAAAAACTGTATATAAATGCAGTAAATAAATAATAAATAAATACAATAAAATATAATAACCAGCATAGAGAAGGTGATTTAGTACCTTTCTGAATATACGTGATTCAGAAAGGTGTAAATAGTGTAAATCTCAAAATGATATCTGGGGACCATAGAAGGTTTTTGTAATGGGCTAATCCTGAAAAGTATTTAACTTGAGCATGATATGATGGTGTCACCTTAAAGACAGAAATGGATGAATGTCCTTCCCTTGGTCTTTCTCTTTTTTTTCCTGTATCACTCAGGAAAAATCTTCCAAGTGTACTCCCACTTAAAGTCAATTCTTGTCAGCCACAAAGGACAATTGTTTCCACAATTGGCAGAAGTTTCTTTATGTTTTCTTCTTATTTCCTTTACCATGATGATGGGTTATATCAATACTCCACTGTGAACTAGCAAAAACTTTTCAGTAAAGCACAACTTGTTCTGAAGGTACTCTGTTTTTTGGTGTTGTCAGGACCATGGGCCAAGAGGAGGATGAGGAGGAGAGGGTTTGTCTCCCAGCAGCTGAGTTGGAGTCCATGAGTGACGAACAGCTGGACATGTCTGAGAATGATACTACTGCACAGGAGCAGGGCCCTATATTGGCAGCCGAGTCAGAGCAGGACAATGTCAAAACTTGGTCACTTCCACCATGTTGACTATTGCTCCTACTAAAATGTAAATTGGCGGAAAGGAAGGTAACAATAGTGTAACGACATTACCAACATTTGGTTGAGATAGTGCTTGCAGTTCTGGAGGAACTCTAATGTTTTGCTTCTCATAGACTTAGCATGGGGATTTGGTTAGGGTTAGCACTTTATCAGAATCCTTTAGCACTTTATTAGAACTAGAGGCCCGCTGAGATTAGTCTATTATAATCTACTTTTCATATTGGCAGCCGAGTCAGAGCAGGACAATGTCAAAACTTGGTCACTTCCACTATGTCTGCTATTGCTCCTACTGCAATGCAAACTGGCAGAAAGGAAGGTAATGATAGTGTGACTAAATTACCAACATTTGGTTGAGATAGTGCTTGCAGTTCTGGAGGAACTCTAATTTTTTGCTTCGCATAGACTTAGAATGGGGATTTGGTTAACCAGTTAAAATTCATGAGTAAACCAGGTTTCTTTAAACATGAAAAATTTTGGGTGGGGTGAGAATCTGAACCAGTAACATCCCTGTCCCCCTGGCTTGTTTGCCACACCCAAGTTGCCATCACCAGTCTCGGCCCCTCTTACCTCCTAGGATAGCAGGCAGCTGCAGAAGGGCATAAGCCAACTCAAAGGGAAGCAGTGTCATGGTGGCAAAGGGAGGTACAGGCTGCTATTGGAAGAGAAGGGCAAGAAGGGCAAGAAGGGTGTGCTGCCACCCGTCCTGTTCTACCACAGTTGGTGCAAAAATCACTTTCAGTCCAAGGTAAAGGGGCTCGGGGACTGAGGGAGGCAGTCTCAAGAGTGAGGTGGAAGAACTGTTGTGCCATGGCAAGAAAGGAAAGTTCCTCTAGACCATGGCCATATAGCCCGAAAAAACCTACAACAACCCAAGAAAGGAAAGTAAGATAGAGAAAAGAGATAGAGAATAAGAACGACATATAGAGAATGAAAAATATATTTTAATGCTCTACAAAAAATTAACAAATTATATATTTACATTTGGGACTACAACCATGATGACACTTCTTTTTTTCTGTGTTTCCCAACCATCTATGCTTCATTCACATTCAGGATCATGAACAGTCCTTCAGTATGCCATGGATAGTCTTGTACTTCTGTTTCAGTTCTTCAAGTTTTGAAGCTGAAAAAGAGAAAAACTGCTAGCACCCGAATAATTGGAGGGAAGCACCGGGGCACCTTGGAGCCATGGTCTCTATTTCCCTTTGAGCTTGGCAGCCTTCGCCATCCTCCTTTGTTTTATCTGCCTGCTGCCATTGAAAAAGGGGACACTCAGAAACTTGACTGCTCCAACTTTCTCCTGCCACTTTTTTAGACTAATATCTGATGTGTTCCCCCCCTCCTCCTATGTACGAAGTTCCTATCTCTCCATGAGCTCTCCCTTACAATTAGTTCTCCCCCTAATCTCACCCAGAGTTTTTAAATCATTTTATGTACATGCGGCCCGCACCCTGTCATTATGTTTGGTTCCGATGTTCTGTGTATATTGTTTTACATGTTTTGATGTTTTTCATTTTAATGTTATGTTGTTTATTTTACTGCAACTTGTATTGTTATTTTGTAGTTTGGTAGCTTGGCCCCATGTAAGCGGCTCCAAGTCCCCGTTGGGGAGATGGTGGCAGGGTATAAATAAAGTTTATTATTGTCGAAGGCTTTCATGGCCAGAATCACTGGGTTGTTGTAGGTTTTTTCGGGCTATATGGCCATGTTTAGAGGCATTCTCTCCTGACGTTTCGCCTGCATCTATGGCAAGCATCCTCAGAGGTAGTGAGGTCTGTTGGAACTAGGAAAAGGGTTTATATATCTGTGGAATGACCAGGGTGAGACAAAGGACTCTTGTCTGCTGGAGCTAGGTGTGAATGTTTCAACTGACCACCTTGATTAGCATATAATGGCCTGACAGTGCCTAGAGCAAACTTTTTGTTGAGAGGTGATTAGATGTCCTTGTTTGTTTCCTCTCTGTTGTTGTGCTGTTGTAATTTTAGAGTTTTTTAATACTGGTAGCCAGGTTTTGTTCATTTTCATGGTTTCCTCCTTTCTGTTGAAATTGTCCACATGCTTGTGTATTTCAATGGCTTCTCTGTGTAGTCTGACATGGTGGTTGTGAGAGTGGTCCAGCATTTCTGTGTTCTCAATAATATGCTGTGTCCAGGTTGGTTCCTCAGGTGCTCTGCTATGGCTGACTTCTCTGGGTGAAGTAGTCTGCAGTGCCTTTCATGTTCCTTGATTCGTGTTTGGGCAATGCTGCCATTTGGTGGTCCCTATGTAGACAGAAATGCTGGACCACTCTCACAACCACCATGTCAGACTACACAGAGAAGCCATTGAAATACACAAGCATATGGACAATTTCAACAGAAAGGAGGAAACCATGAAAATGAACAAAATCTGGCTACCAGTATTAAAAAACTCTAAAATTACAACAGCACAACACAGAGAGGTAACAAACAAGGACATCTAATCACCTCTCCACAAAAGTTTGCTCTAGGCACTGTCAGACCATTTTATGCTAATCAAGGTGATCAGTTGAAACATTCACACTTAGCTCCAGCAGACAAGAGTCCTTTGTCTCACCCTGGTCATTCCACAGATATATAAACCCTTTTTCCTAGTTCCAACAGACCTCACTACCTCTGAGGATGCTTGCCATAGATGCAGGCAAAACGTCAGGAGAGAATGCCTCTAGACCATGGCCATATAGCCCGAAAAAACCTACAACAACCAAAAATTTATTATTATTTTTATTATATTATTAATAAAAATAATATCTGTTTAAATGGGCCTGGCTCCCAGCCTTCCTCCAACTCCCATTGTAGATTCCCCCTTGAAAAATGGGAGCTTCTTATTAAGTACAGGTTAGATAATGACTAAGACAGAATCCATTTCTCAGCCTCATCCTGGTGATTTTTTTTAATTCTGGAGAGAAAGGAAAAGTTGTAACTACCACTTCAGGAAGGAAAATTTTGAAGCTATTCAAATCATAAGATGAAAGCGAAATCCTAGAGACAAGGCTCCATACCAGAGGTGCAGCCAAGCACAAAGTATACACACTATTTGGGTGCAGGACTTACATAATGAGGATTTGACACTGCCGCTCCAAAACACCTTCTCTTCATGTCTCTGCTTCTCTGTTTCCATAACATAAGCAGAGGTTTCTGTAACCTGAGCCAGACCTTGCAATTCCTGGTGGAAGAAATACATGAAACCAAGGAAACTAATTAGTTACACCATCCCACTAATTTGGCATCCACAGCACTACTAATCCCATCTAGTTCTTCATGATCTGGACTCCTGAATTTAATCAACCAAATTGAGATGGAGAAAAGAGAGGAGACCACATTCAATCTCACTTTTGATCATACATGAAAGGCAGGATCGGGGGACACCAAGCACACTAGATTCTTGTAGCAGCATGACAGATTTTACTGTGGCATAAACCTAAAAGAATTTGAACCCACTTCCATCAAATGCAGATCTCTCCACTTCTGAACAGAGTACAGAGTTGGTATGTGTTTGCAATTCTGTTAGCCTTTAAGATGCACAAGGCCCATATTCTGAAAGCTATGTATATAGGTACACACACCTATCACTATGAGCTAGAACACATGACAATTCCATCTTGGGAGTTTCATGTTTATAGCCAGCTTGAACCCCATTTTGGGAAAAATACAGAATCAAGTAAATAACGAAACAGATGTAGACAGACATGCTGAGGTGTTCACCTCAGGGTCTATGTTTTACAGTGCCCGGGCTGTATCACTTCAGGTGAGAGGTGGGGTATTACATGACAAAAGGCTTTTCCAGGTGGCTTGATCACACCACCTGGAAAAGCAATCGTACCATGTCCGTGGGGTTGCATTTGAAGACTGCTCGGAAGCTTCAAATGCTCCAGCGTTCGGCAGCCAGGTTGCTAACAGGAGCAGCACTCAGGGAGCATACTACTCCTCTGTTGCACCAGCTCCACTGGCTGCCAGTTTGCTACCGGGCACAATTCAAAGTGCTGGCGTTAGCTTATAAAGCCCTAAACGGTTCTGGCCCTACTTACCTCTCCAAACACATCTCCTCCTATGAACCGACTAGGACTAAGATCATCTGGGGAGGCCCTTCTCTCTGTCCCGCCTGCATCACAGGCGCGCTTGGCGGGGACGAGAGACAGGGCCTTCTCAGTGGTGGCCCCTTGGCTGTGGAACGCCCTGCCTGCAGATATCAGATTGGCCCCTCCCTGCTGGCGTTCCGGAGGAAAGTGAAGACCGGGCTGTTCGAACAAGCATTTGATTAAACAGTGTAATTGAACATAGGAATACGGAATAATGGATGATGAGACTGGATTCTGATTTTACTGTTGAGGCGCTAATTATTGTTATTCTGATGTTTAATTATTTATGTTACAATTGTTTTTAATTGCCCTACACTTATCTCGTAATGTTTTGTACCGATGTTGTTCACCGCTTTGAGTCACCTGAGGGCTGAGAAAAGCGGTATATAAAGTAAATAAATAAAATAAATAATAGAAATCTAAACATCGGGAAGGACTCTATAAAGGCCTCCACCACTCTCCCTTCTTATGTGCAAGGGTTGTGTGTGGAACTTGATCACAGTCAGAAGTGATACAGCCCAAACACAGGTTGAATGACAGCAGGAACAACAGGCTACAATGCTACAGCACTACAAATCCACTTTAATTTCCACGGATCCATCCCATAGAGTCCTGGGATTTATAGTGTGGTCAGAGGAACAAGAGGAGCACTCTGGCTGTGAATTCGAAATGGCACCCCTAGAACACAAATACCAGGATTCCACAGAATGTTGCCAGGTATTTAAAATGGTTGTATAATTACGTTATGTGAATGGGTCATGGGGGAAGGGAAGTAAATGACCGGAGAGGAATTTGATGGCTGTCAGGATATCAAAGTCATCACATTCTCACACAGCAATAGTGGGCCTTTTGCCCTCCTGATATGTTTTTTACTTACAACCTTCATTAAGCTTCTCAACATGGCCACAGATAAGAGATTCTGGGGACTAAGCTCCAAACATCAAAAAAGGGCAAAGAAGCCCCACATCTACACAAGCATTTCCTATATCTACTGCCACACTTATGGCGTCTCCAAGCATAAAGCCAGTTGGCATCTCCTGAGAGCTAATGGGAATTCTCTAATCTTATGCTGTTGCTACAAACATACAGACCAAGGGCAAGATAGATGGATGGTATCCTTGAAGTGACTGGCTTGACTTTGAAGGAGCACGGCCGACAGGGAGCTGTGGTGTGGGCTGGTCCTTGATGTCATGAAGAATCACAGAATCATAGAGTTGGAAGAGACCTCATGGGCCATCCAGTCCAACCCCCTGCCAAGAAGCAGGAAAATTGCATTCAAATCACCCGACAGATGGTCATCCAGCCTCTTTTTAAGAGCTTCCAAAGAAGGAGCCTCCACCACACTCCGGAGCAGAGAGTCTCACTGCTGAACGTCTCTCACAGTCAGGAAGTTCTTCCTCATGTTCAGATGAAATCTCCTTTCTTGTAGTTTGAAGCCATTGTTCCACATCCTAGTCTCCAGGGCAGCAGAAAACAAGCTTGCTCCCTCCTCCCTGTGACTTCCTCTCACATATTTATACATGGCTATCATATCCCCTCTCAGCCTTCTCTTCTTCAGGCTAAACATGCCCAGCTCCTTAAGCCGCTTCTCATAGGGCTTGTTCTCCAGAACCTTGATCATTTCAGTCACCCTCCTCTGGACACATTCAGCTTGTCAATATCTCCCTTCAATTGTGGTGCCCAGAATTGAACACAATATTTCAGGTATGGTCTAACCAAAGCAGAATAGAGGGGTAGCATTACTTCCCTAGATCTAGAGCAGTGGTTCTCAACCTCGGGTCCCCAGATGTTTTTGGCCTTCAACTCCCAGAAATCCTAATAGCTGGTAAATTGGCTGGGATTTCTGGGAGTTGTAGGCCCAAAACATCTGGGGACCCCAGGCTGAGAACCACTGATCTAGAAACTATGTTCCTGTTGATGCAGGCCAAAATCCCATTGGCTTTTTTTGCCGCCATATCACATTGTTGGCTCATGTTTAACTTGTTGTCCACGAGGACTCCAAGATCTTTTTCACATGTACTGTTCTCGAGCCAGGCGTCCCCCAAAGTCGGAAGTGAATGAACGAATAAACAACAACATGCTACTGCTACATGGACTGATTAAATTGAGCCCCTTCCTTGCCCCCAGTCTCACCTGCACACAAAGTGTCAAGCTCTCGTGCACATCTTGGAAGAGGGGACCGCAGGGGCTCAGCTTAAGAGCTCGTCGCTCACTGTGCTTCTGTAGGTCACTCTCATACACCTGCTCAAAGGCAAGGAGCAGGTGGCTGAAGTCAGATGCAATCAATTTGAGGGTCTGCAGAGTTGTGGCACTGTCGGGGGATGCATCTGCCACACCCAGGTCCTCCTGCAGGAAAGGACACTGAAAAGGCCCAGTTTTGTTACTGTAAGAAAGTAATCTGCTATCCTCTTGAATCCCATGCCAAGCTCTGTTGTGCCTGAGCCTCCCCACCCCACTCTCATCAGGAAAAAACAGTCACTGTTTAGAACTCATCCCTTTCTCAATCAAGAAACATCAGCCTCCCATTTTGACTCAAAGAACAGATCTAAACTTACCCGTACATTCCGGCATATAAGACGACTGGGTGTATAAGACGACCCTCAATTTTTCCAGTTAAAATATAGTTTGGGATATACTCGCCGTATAAGACTACCCTCTTCCAACACACACCAAATAATTTTTTTAAAGCATCAGATTTGATTTCAATATGGTGATTTTCCTATTACTGTACCTCCTTCTCTGCCTCTCAGATCTTGCACATGCGCACCTGCACCACTTCGCTGCAGTCTTCAGGAGTGAGATCTGAGAGGCAGAGGAGGAGGTACGGGTAATAGGATACAAGGGCGGGCCAGACAGGTAAAAAATGTGTGTTTTTCTGGGTCCAGAGCCACTCTATCTCTTTTTTCCATACCCTGGGCGCCCTGGATGCCTGCAGCTTGCTCCGCCCTTCACTTACACCTTCCCGGTGAGACGCCCCTTCACCTCGCCATTGGGACTGCATTAAGTCCACGAATCCTGATGAATGGATTTTCTTCTACTGTACTTGTACAGCGTCGCCCTTAATGCTTTCATACAGTCGCTGCATACAGCAGGGACGCGGCCACTGCCATTTTTTAACTCCTCCCCCAATATGCAGCAACCACAGATTCTCCAATCTGGATTGGAAGTTTCAGCACCCGCTCTATAAGACGACTCCCAGCATATAAGACAACTCCCATGCATAAGGCTACTTCAGTGTATAAGACGACCCCCGTGTATAAGACTACTCCCGCGATTAAGTTGACCCTGACTTTTGAGAAGATTTGTATTGGGTTAGAAAGTAGTCTTATTTGCCAGAATATACAGTAATTTGTATTTCTCTGATGTCCTTTGTAAATGAAATTCTATGGCGGGATAGTACTGCAGGAGGTCTAAGTACTTACTTTGACAAGGCAAGTAAGAAAAGTGAGGGAATATGTGGCCCTCTTCTGCTTTTTCTCTCTCTCTAGACACGGTCCCAAGGTTGGAGAACAACTATCTGGTTTGCTGAACTAGAAAGGCATTTTGTCTGGCCTGGCAGTACTTTTAAGATAGACCTTCCAGCAGATTTTTAATTTTAAATGACGGCAATCATTACACTTTAGCACATCAGGATGACAACTTTAAGAAGGCCATAGGAAGCACAAGTGAGAAAAAAAGAACAAAACCAGTAACAAAAGGCAGCCAGGAGTCTGAAACTCAATAACATATTCACAGCTGACATAATACAGCAAATTAAGAGCAGAGAAGGGAAGGAAGCAAAAACCTCCTGAATATAGAGATAGCAGCTGGAGAACATCTCATAAGAACTAAACTACGAGGAAGGCACCAAGGGAAACACAAATGTGGCAAAACCTTTGGAGAAGCAGGGGTGGAAACTCTTCTATCCATCTTTACAACCATTTTTATTATAAATTTTCATCATGGACTCATAGAATTGGAAGAGACCTCGTGGGCTATCCAGTCCAACCCGCTGCCAAGAAGTAGGAAAATCACTGCTTAAAAGCCTCCACCATACTCTGGGACAGAGTTCCACTGCTGAACAGCTCTTACAGTCAGGAAGTTCTTCCTCATGTTCAGGTGGAATCTCCTTTCTTGTAGTTTGAAGCCATTGTTTCGCATCCTAGTTTCCAAGGAAGCAGAAAACAAGCTTGCTCCCTCCTCCCTATGACTTCCCCTCACATATTTGTACATGGCCATCATGTCTCCTCTCAGGCTTCTCTTCTGCAGGATAAACATGCCCAGCTCTTTAAGCCACTCCTCATAGGGCTTGTTCTGCAGGCCCTTGATCATTTTAGTCACCCTCCTCTGGACACATTCCAGCTTGTCAGCATCTCCCTTCAATTGCGGTGCCCAGAATTGGACACAGTACTCCCGGTGAAGAATAGAGGGGGAGCATGGCTTTCCAGGATCTAGACACTATACTCCTATTTATGCAGGCCAACTTGATGACTCTTTCACTAGCAAAGCATAATTAAACACTGAATTACAGAACCATGATACTTCATAAGTCTATCTATTCCACTGGTCAAATAAATATAATTGGACATTGCTGTACTAACACATCAATATCCTATGATAAATTCATACAGTCTAAAACAAGAGGTGCCATGGACAAATGATGCTGATGCAATACACTATCATTGTAAGGAACTTGTAGCTGACAAAAGGCAATATCCACTAGGTTTGTGCAACCACAATCCGTTTTGGTGTCCCGGATTTAATGAGAGTCCCAATCCATTTATTGGAAGCTTCCCAAATTCAGGAGGACAGAAATTCGTTTTCAATCCTGGAAGCCGAAATACTTGTTTTCTATCTGGCCCATTGGTGGCAATGGGGTGAGAAGACTTCCCACAGGCTCCCCTTCCCATCATTTTAGACATTATGTTTGTCCTTATAGCCTTCATTAAAAGCCTCAAAGTTAAGAAACCACTCTTTCTGTGATACTTTCCCTTCTGTCTGTAGAGGCGATGGGGTCTAATGCTTGATTAAAGCTGTTTCTACTCTAGAGGAGACTGGAGCTGCAGGCACACATGCTCTCTCCTTGGAGCAGGCAGTTTTCCAAGGCGTTTTAAGGAGGCTTCCCATTTCCCAGGGAAGGAAGAGGGATCGACCTGGAAGTATCCTATCCTGGGCTTCCTTTAAAAAGCCCTCTCTTCTCTCTTGATTTGGAGATGCTGGAGTGGTGCCCTTTTCTCCCTCAAGCTTTTTCTTCTAGTGACTGCCTCCCTTCCCACACTCCATGTGTAACCAAAAGCAGCTGGTGTTCAACAGTCACTGTTCTTTTGCGGTCAGTTGGCTTCCGAAACAACCAAACCAACCAAACAAGCCAAAAGCAAATGTCCATAATGAATCTATGCACAAGCCTAGTATCCACTAGCCTAACCTATACATCACAAAACCATCCCTTTACTGGACAAACCTCTCTGAAGATAACTTACCTGAGCTTTCAGATCTTTTAGAGCTGCCACGGTGTCCTCCAGCTTCTTCAACTCATCTATAAGTGTTTTTTCTTGAGAAGTCTCTGATAGAAGGGACCTTGATAGAGAAGACAAGGAGGTTTTGTCACTGCTACCTCAATAAGAGTATAGTATAGAATGAGTCTTTATTAATGACTTAGATGAAGGGCTAGAAGGCATGATCATCAAGTTTGCAGACGACACCAAATTGGGAGGGATAACCAATACTCCAGAGGACAGGAGCAGAATTCAAAACGATCTTGACAGATTAGAGAGATGGGCCAAAACTAACAAAATGAAGTTCAACAGGGACAAATGCAAAGTACTCCACTTTGACAGAAAAAACAAAATGCAAAGATACAGAATGGGGGATAATGCCTGGCTCAAGAGCAGTACGTGTGAAAAAGATCTTGGAGTCCTCGTGGACAACAAGTTAAACATGAGCCAACAATGTGATGTGGCGGCAAAAAAAGCCAATGGGATTTTGGCCTGCATCAATAGGAGCATGGTGTCTAGATCTAGGGAAGTAATGCTACCCCTCTATTCTGCTTTGGTTAGACCACACCTGGAATATTGTGTCCAATTCTGGGCACCACAATTCAAGAGAGATATTGACACGCTGGAATGTGTCCAGAGGAGGGCGACTAAAATGATCAAGGGTCTGGAGAACAAGCCCTATGAGGAGCGGCTTAAGCAGCTGGGTATGTTTAGCCTGAAGAAGAGAAGATTGAGAGGAGATATGATAGCCATGTATAAATATGTGAGAGGAAGCCACGGGGAGGAGGGAGCAAGCTTGTTTTCTGCTTCCCTGGAGACTAGGACACGGAACAATGGCTTCAAACTACAAGAAAGGAGATTCCATCTGAACATGAGGAGGAATTTCCTGACTGTGAGAGCCGTTCAGCAGTGGGACTCTCTGCCTCGGAGTGTGGTGGAGGCTCCTTCTTTGGAAGCTTTTAAACAGAGGCTGGATGGCCATCTGTCAGGGGTGATTTGAATGCAATATTCCTGCTTCTTGGCAGAATGGGGTTGGACTGGATGGCCCATGAGGTCTCTTCCAACTCTTTGATTCTACGATTCTATGAGTTAAGAAACCGTCCATTCAACCTGACATTTTACTAATGCTTCCTGCACTTGGTTTCTTATCTCGACTGAGCACTGAATTATAGTTCCACTCTAGCTCAAGAAACAGGTCCTTCAAGGACTTCTGGATTCCTTTTCTTAAATTCTGGCAGATGGTAAGCATAAAAACCAAGGAGCTCACCTTTTATGCAATGCTTCTTCATCTGCCAGGAAATGCTTGATGTCCGAGCTCCAGGGATGACACTGTGGATTCAACACAGTCTGCAGGTCAGGGCTGCAGAAAACCTGTTTGATGAACTCTCCATTCCTCCAAACCATTTCCAGTAAAGATTCTTCAGTGCTAAAAGATAGAGAAAAGGAGGCTAGAAGACGATTGCAGGCCTTTGGGTCACCATGGTCAAATGATATCTAGGCTGTTGAAAAGGTGCTTTGTCATCCCAGTTAAATAGAACTACTTATAGTGCAGAACAGGACTGGGAAAGTACAATATGCGGGCTAGATTTTCATGGCTTGTAACGCACGGCAAGGGGTCATTTTTAAAACTTTTTTTTTTTCAAGTAAGAGGACTGGGAGGGCATTTTTGTTGTCTTCTGGGCCACTTCACACCCATGGTAGAGCTTTTGTGAAACCACAAATAAACTGGAAGCCAGAAGTAAAAGCCAGAAATAAATTGTTTGGTTTTTTTTAAAAGACCTCTGCCGGGCCTAAAATAGTCCAAGGGGTAATAGAAACAGGGCATGAATGTCCCCACACACCTTCCATGTGGCTGTTCAGGCCAGGATTGATAGGAAATTTAATTTCATCACATCTAGAAGATGTTAGGTCAAGAAAGGCTGATCCAGAAACCAAAGAAGCTGTGATTCAAAAGTGTTTCTAAAGGCCACGTTGTTCTAAGTGTAGTGTGAAACATTATTGTAAAGAAAGTAACATCTTGAGTTTGGTACTTCTTTTGTAAAGTAACATGTCACCTTTCACTTTAAAAGTAAGGCACTTGTACTGTACTGTTAAACCTTAATTTTAGTTACCATTTATTAATTAGTTTTTCAATTTTACTCAGAAAATACAAAAAAATGGTACCAAATCTCACAAGATGACTATAACATTTTTCAAGTTTCATTTCAAATTTTCCCTTTTATACCCATGTTAAAGTTGTCATGGTACTTTTAACAGTTAATGCTAGTCATGGCATTATTACTCCATAAAGAAGCAAATGTGTTATTGATAATATTATTTCTAATGTATTACTTCCGTGCTAACAAAAAGAAGGCCCAAAATACAATCCCTTGAATCAATTACAGGCCTCTCTCATCTTTTGAAGTGGGAGAACTTGTACAATTGGTATCTAACTAAATACTCCCCCCCCCGCCCCCCACTGTACATAAAATTACTAGAGCTCTTGGATACTAAATTCCATCCCCCTATATCAAATGACACAGTGAAAGGTATACCTTAGATAAAATGGCAAAATCAAAGTTTGCTTTTCTGTAATTAAAAAACAATACAGCCATAGAAGAATCTGTAGATGTAGAATTTGCTGATATGGAGGGCCAGCTATATTATCTATGGAAGTATGTGTTTCTGACAATTTATGCAGACATGCAACTACTACCCAATTGTCTCCCACTATGCCCCAGATACTGTATTTCATTCCTCCTCTCCCTCCCCACCCCATAAAATACTTATCTAAATTCTAGACCCCAAAACATCCAGAGTTTAATTTGCATAGAACACCTAATTAATTTCTGGACAATTCAAATTTCTCAATCAGCAGGCTTTTTAGAAGCGAAGAATTCCAGACTTTTGTCAATTGGACCAATGTAATCTTGCCCAGCATGTGAACAATAAAGCAAAGAGCTCAAAAGAGAAAGGGCATTAAGTCCCTCTAGCACAGTGTTTCTTAATCTGGGTCAGGACCCCTGGGGGGTTGACAAAGACCATCAGAAAACACAGTATATTCTGCTGGTCATGGGGGTAATGAGGGAAGTTTGGCCCAATTCGATCATTGGTGGGGTTCAGAATGCTCTTTGATTGTAGGTGAACTATAAATCCCAGAAACTACAACTCCTAAATGTCAAGGTCTATTTCCCCAAACTCCACCAGTAATCACATTTGAGCATATTGAGTATTTGCGCCAAGTTTGGTCCAAATCCATCATTGTTTGAGTCCACAGTGCTTTCTGGATGTAGGTGAACTTCAACTCCAAAACTCAAAGTCAATGCCCACCAAAACCTTCCAGTGTTTTCTGTTCGTTGTGGGAGTTCCGTGTGGCAAATTTGGTTCAATTCCATTTTTGGTAGAGTTCAAAATGCTCTTTGATTGTAGGTTAACTATAAATCCCAGCAACTACAACTCCCAAATTACAAAATCACACCCCTCCCCAACCCCACCAGCATTCAAATTCGGGCATATCAGCTATTTGTGCCAAATTTGATCCAGTGAATGAAATACATCCTGCATATTAGATATTTACATTACGATTCATAACAGTAGCAAAATTGCAGTTATGAAGTAGCAATAAAAATATTTTTATGGCTCGGGGTCACCACATCATGGAGAACTGTTTTATGGGTTCGCAGCATTAGGGAGGTTAAGAAACACTGCTCTAGCACATCTTGCTGAAAGACACAGCTGCTGATCTCCTTTGTGTCTGAAAAAAAATCTTCTCACCTGGAACAAATGCTAGAGTCAGATACTGAGTCAGATACAGCCAAGTCAGCCTGAGCCGGAATTACAGCTACTAGTTGTTCCAGGAAGTGGAGCTGCTTCTGGGCAGAGGCCTTTCCCTGCAAGGATGAAAGCACAAGACAAGTCACACTGTGATAGTTCCTCTATGCCAGCATCTCTTTCCTGGCAGAGCTCACTCAGAAGAACTCTGCCTCTTAATGTGAAACCAGTTAATTTATTATTTAATAAATTAACCTAATATGTCTTTCCACAAACGCCACTATTACCTTTTCGTCCATGTTCAGCACTATTTCCAATTTTAATTTTACATTTGGCCTTCCCATAGTTTTAATTGTATGTTGTCTTATTGATAATGTTATATGTTTATGTTTTATTTTAATTGCTTGTATTGTTGTGATTATTGCTTGTATTGTTGTGTTCAGACTCGGTCTCATGTAAGCCGCACGGAGTTCCTTGGGGAGATGGTAGCGGGGTACAAATAAAGTGTTATTATTATTATTTATTTATTTACAGTATTTGTATACCGCTTTTATCACCCCGAGGGGGACTCAAAGCAGTTAAAACAGCATCCAGAAGAGTGTAATGAAAGTTTAAAAAGTGTAGAATGAAAATCCTTTGAAAGAAGAGTTAAAGAAGAAGCTATTTTTAAGGGTATAATCTCAGATTTTTAAATAGTTTTACACAGTGGGCCCTTGGTATCTGCTCAGATTTGAATCCAGGAGCCTCCATGGATATAAAAATCCATGGATGCTCAAGTCCGTGTACTGTAGTAAAATGAAACATGTCATGGAGAGAAGGGGTATGCCCAGGAAACAGTTTGGCAATGGGCTAAGAAGTCTTGGGAGGTGAGAAGAACTTCATTCCACTGACATCCCATATTGCATCACCAGTCCTTACCTTGATGAGGTCCAGGTCATTCGCGGGGCAAAGTGTCAGATCATACCCCAGCTTGGCCATCCCTGTCAGAATAGGAAGTTGTTTGAGTTACACACACGTTCCACTCATGTTTTAACCAATATGAGAATGCACTTACTATTCTCCTCTCAATCAAACTTGCTCCACAGCACCAGTTTAAACATCACCTATCTCCAGTGACAAATTGCAAGGGTTTGTTTGCAGTGCCTGCTTATGAGACAGCTTATTTTATATTTTTTGTGTTTTTACCTATGTCATTTATTGTATATTTTATGTTCATATGTTTTTGAATTTGTTGTACCCCACCTTGAGCCATCAGGAGAGGCAGGCAACAAATAAAATTTATCACCATCACCACCATCATCATCTTGCACAGGTGAGTGTGCCTAATTCAAAAAAGCCAATGGGATTTTGGCCTGCATCAATAGGAGCATAGTGTCTAGGTCCAGGGGTGTAATGTTACCCCTCTATTCTGCTTTGGTTAGACCACACCTGGAATACTGTGTCCAATTCTGGGCACCACAATTCAAGAGAGATATTGACAAGCTGGAATGTGTCCAGAGGAGGGCGACTAAAATGATCAAGGGTCTGGAGAACAAGCCCTATGAGGAGCGGCTTAAGGAGCTGGGCATGTTTAGCCTGAAGAAGAGGCGGCTTCCAACTCTTTGATTCTATGATTCTAAGTCAGGCTGTCAGCCTACCTCTATACTGTCCTCAAATCCTATCAACTAAGGCCATTCCTCCAGAGACTTAGGTGGGAGTTTTTTCTTTCCTAAGTAAATTACAATTATCCTTTCCCATAAGAGATGCAAGGGGCTGAGCCCAGTCTTTAATGCTGTTAAACTGTCACTGTTATTTCACCTCATGCCATCATAGAATCATAGAGTTGGAAGAGACCTCATGGGCCATCCAGTCCAACCCCCTGCCAAGAAGCAGAAATATTGCATTCAAAGCACTCCCGACAAATGGCCATCCAGCCTCTGTTTAAAAGCTTCCAAAGAAGGAGCCTCCACCACACTCCGGAGAGTTCCACTGCTGAACGGCTCTCACAGTCAGGAAGTTCTTCCTCATGTTCAGGTGGAATCTCCTTTCAGAGCAGTTGATGTAATAGACTAATATCGTCTATCTGACATGTTTGAGGCCAAATGTGTTCTGTATTTTAGCCTTTTTTGGATTTTGGAATGCTGTGAGATTTCTTAAGGATGGGGCCTAAGTCTAACCACAAAGTTCATTGGTGTTGCGTGTACACCTTATACACATAGCCTGACATCAGTTTTATATACAATATCATTTTTGCATGAAACATTAGTTTGTGCACACTGAACTACCAGAGCAAAGATATCCGCCACCTATGTGGGTGATTTTGAAATTCTGGATAAAGGATATTCAATGCTGCACAGCATACAATTTGAGAAATACCAATACCAACAGAATAAGCTATAGTGCATAAACAATGGGGATTTTTGCAAGCAGACTAGTATCTTGGACATATCATGAGTATTTGGAAAAGATTATAAAGCTTGGTAAAGTTGAAGGTAACTTTAATGGATTTACTTAACCATCAAAACCAATGCCCTGAGATGGAAATAATTGTGCAGGGCTGTTAATAACAGGGTCTTTTTGGCATCTCCTGGTCTTATTGCTTGAGAACCAGTTAGATTGATGGGCTGAATATGGAGTGACTACAGTGCCTGCTTTTTCTCTCTGACAGTACTCACTTATATTTTACATTAACGAGTTAATTTTATAAAAGTTAAATTTTAAGGGTTTTTCCCCTCTAAGAATCTTTTAAGCTGGCAGATCCTTTCTAATTGGTGCTCTGTACCATTTCCCCACCATAATTTCCTCCCTGGATGTTCTTTCAGGAGGAAGAGCTGTTTCAGCAAGAAGCTAGCAAGGGTGTTAACCTGACTGAGAAGGAATGTCACATAGCCAAATTTATTTATTTACTTTGCTTGTATACTGCTTTTCTCACCCCAGGGGGAACTCAAATCAGTTTCCAACATATTCACAGCAAAATTCAATGCCTTACAAAAACATGAAAACCTAACATAATGCAACAATAGCATAAAACTATCAATTAAATCAGGGGTCCTCAAACGAAGGCCCGGGGCCGGATACAGCCCTCCAAGGTCATTTACCCAGCCCTCGCTCAAGGTCAACCTAAGTCTGAAACAACAACAACAACAACAATCCTATCTCATCAGCCAAAAGCAGGCCCACACTTCCCATTGAAATACTAATCAGTTTATATTTGTTAAAATTGTTCTCCATTTTAATTATTGTATTGTTTTAAAGTGGGGTTTTTTTGCATTACAAATAAGATATGTGTAATGTGCATAGGAATTCATTCATGTTTTTTTTCAAATTATCTGGCCCTCCAACAGTTTGAGGGACTGAGGGACTGTGACCTGGCCTTCTGTTCAAAAAGTTTGTGGACCCCTGAATTAAATCATAAAATGTAACAACATCAAAACATGGAGTTAAAAACATATTCAAATAAACATTAAAATCACATGATCCAAAAGCATAGACCAGGCAATTCCAGTATGCTTCGTTCCACAGCCAAGTTTTTGCTTTTTTTCTGAAGGCCAAGAGGATGTTCGGGCAGGTAAGCTGGGCCTGAACATGGCCAAATACAGTCACTATGACTACTCTTATAATTATACATTTAAAAGAAAAACTCACAATTGTCATTTTAACATTTAAGCTTTAGAATCGCACCAAGCTAAATGAATTCATGTTGAAATAATTCCATCCAAGGGCACACTTCAAATCCTAAACTCTACCAGTATGGCTGCCCAGACGACTGTCAGCTTTCAAGTGCTGCATTTACCCATTCTGTCCCTCTATCCAATGAAGATGACCAGTACTTATATAATGATAGGATATGTAGCCTACTATACTGAAACTAGCCGTCCTCTGTCACGCGTTGCTGTGGCCCAGTCTGGTGAGCTGGAAAAGTAATGAGAAAGTGTTGGTTTCTAATATATGTAATGTTTTAATGCTTGTGGGTAAACAGTATTTCTTGCTGTTCCTTTGTCAGTGTTGATGTGGAGATTGTCTGGTTTGCCCAACCTGGAACATGAAACATATAATTGTCCTTCTTTGGGGGTCCCTTTCAGATCTTTGATACTGCATCTGTCCTATACCTATATGTGTGTGTGTGTGAATGGCTGCATGGCCCTTTGTCAGGAGGGCTTTGGTTATGTTTTCTTGCTCTGGTGAAGGGAGTTGGACTGGATGGCCTTAGGGCAGCATTTCTCAACTTGGAAAGTCAAGACCGGGGGGGGGGGGGGTCACCAGGGTGGTGTCAGAAGGGTCACCAAGGGCCATCAGAAAACACAGTATTTTCTGTTGGTCATGGGGGTTCTGTGTGGGATGTTTGGCCCAATTCCATCATTGGTGGGGTTTGGAATGCTCCTTGATTGTAGGTGAACTATAAATCCCAGTAACTACAATTCCCAAATGTCAAGGTCTATTTCCCCCAAACTCCATCTGGTTCATATTTGAGCATATGGAATATTCGTGCCAAGTTTGGTCCAGTTCCATCATTGTTTGAGTCCACAGTGCTCTCTGGGCGTAGGTGAACTACAAGTCCCAAACTCAAGACCAATGCCCACCAAACCCTCCCAGTATTTTCTGTTGATCATGGGAGTTCTGTGTGCCACATTTGGTTCAATTTCATCATTGGTGGAGTTCAGAATGCTCTTTAATTGTAGGTGAACTATAAATCCCAGCAACTGCAACTCCCAAATGACAAAATCATAATTTTTGAGTGATGGACATTCCTTGTGTTGCGAGACGTTTTGTTGCCAAATTCGGTGTGATTTCATTCATTGGTTCTTTTGTTTTTAAGGTACTCATTACGCACAGAGCATTTATATATATATAGATGATCAGCTACTTTGAATAGTTTACACACAAAATTCTCCAGTCCTACACATCTTTCAAAAATTAATTGTAATTGGTTCTATACACTTCAACATCTGTACAATGATCTCACTATGGTTGGCTCTGCCAATGTGGAGCAGACGCTGGCCACCTACGAGCTCCACTGAGGAATCTGAACCAAAACTTCTACAAAAAAGGATTTCTATCTTTCTCTTTTTCTTAGCCAACACTTCACAACCAGATGATAATACTGGAACAGAGCATCAGGGGCAAGTTGCCCTTTAGTTAAACAACTTATTTCACATTGTACAAGTCTCCTTGCAGAAGACAACAGTTTGGAAAAGTTCCCCTCTTTTGAAGTACAACTATTACTTCAACTGGGGGATTATGGGTGTTTATTTCCTCTTAAAAAGTTGTAAGTTCAGGCTGCAGCCTTGCAAACAATTTCATTAGGTACTACCGTGTTCCTGCAGTAAAGGCAGTCCCCAAGTTATGAACAAGATACGTTCTGTAGGTTTGTTATTCAGCTGAATTTGTATGTAAGTCAGAAAAGGGGCATTTTTAAGTGTAACTCCTGCCACACACACACACACACAAGCTTTGGATAGCATAAGGAAAGGTTTTGCTGTCTACGTCGCTGTTCAGAAGATTTCACCTCACTTTCTGTCTCTCTGATAATGGGATTTTGAAAAATTTGGCTTGTTGTGGAAACAAGGAAACTCTTGCCATTGAAAGGGTGGGCAAAGTGATTCAAATTATTGCTGCCAAGTGCTTCTCCCTGATCACAAACAACCCCTGGGCTAGTCATTTGAAAGATGGTGATTTTACAACCTAAGGTCTAATAAGATATTCTCCATTTGTGGGGGTTTTTTTTTTCTGGATCAAAATGGTTACTAAAACTTGCTACCTTGATAAATAATTGATCTGTTTGTAACTTTTTATGTAATCGTAAGATGTTGCCATCATGAAATATCCCATTTTGAAATTGGATCCATTGTTTTGAAACATCATTTATATTGTATTTATTAGTCAAGTCCTTTTGTAAGAAGCTTTGGGTAAAAGAGCTGGTTCAATTGGCTCTCTGAAGGTGATGAAGAGTAGTTTAGTATCTTAGCTTTGTATTTTAAAACAAATGTAACTACTGTATTCCCTTATTTGACAAAAGCTGTCTTTGGGAAATGAGAGTCTACGTAAGGACCTCTGTGATCAAACAAAGACTTCGTATTTATTCTCCAAATATTTCTAAATACTAAGTGTTTATTAATCTAATATATTGTAAAATGTTGTGCCATACGTTTTTATACTGACTTACAAGTGATATTTTATTAGTACAATATTTACAGAGGGATTAAGCAAGGCTTTAAATCTTTTCTTGAAAATTCTTCAGACCTCTGAAGATGCCGGCCACAGATGAAGGCAAAATGTCAGGGGAGAATGCTACTGGAACATGGCCATACAGCCCGAAAAACTTACAGCAACCCATTCTTAAGGCAAATTTGCCATGAAGATCTCACAAACCCACAGTGAAAGATATATTCTTCTAGGCTTAAAATGCCAGCTCGCAGATGAGATGAAACACAGTTCAGGTCAACCAGCTTTATCTATCCATCTGGGTATAAAGCCAGTTCTACATTCCATTACACAAGTTTAGCTTGACCATAAACGGAAAACCAGAAGAGGTTATCCAGACTGAGATGTGAGGAAAATATCAAGGCTTTAAAAGTTATTTTTTGGGTGTTACAATTGTGAGGATCCCAGGAAACTGTATGAGGAGTCAAAAAAAAATCTTAACAACCTCTGATCAGTATAGAGACAAAGAGTGGCTTGCTTTTCAACCGTTTTCTTGAAGCTCTATGGGATAAGCTGGAAAAGATGCCAAATAAGATCAGAGCTTGCAAATGTTATTGTCGGCACTTTACATATTAATCTTAACAGCACCACAGTTCAATAGCATCTGCAAAACCATATAAGGTTAACGCGATGAAGAAATTTCATTGGATAACATTAAAATGTTAAAAACACACAGCCATGCTGAATTGTCAATTTTATTACCATAAGTTGTTGAACAGTTAACTTTTATAAAATCATTTAAACAGTGGCTGTTACAGAATTAACATAATACAAACGTTGATTATCAACTTTTAAACTGAATTTTAAGAAGTTATTTCTAGGCTCTCCCCCATCTGGGGTCAACAGGGGTAGGCTTAACACCCTCCCTAACAGTATTCCAAAAAGCTTTGCTATGATTTTTTGGTATTATGTGTACTATTTTGTTGGAAACTGCTTTGAGTTGCCAATTGGCTGAGAAAGGCGGTATACAAATACAATAAATAAATAAATAAATAAATAAATTTCCTACATACAGGAGAAATTGCAAGTTTCCAGATGAAACAAACTATACCCACTACTTTTGGGATTGCTCAGCTTCACCCCACTGACAGGGAAGGATATAATTTGAGTCTGAATACTGAGCACATATTTCTATGTATGGTTGTGAAAACTGGACAATGAAGAACACTGACAGGAAGAGAAATAAGTCCTTTGAAATGTGATACAAGAGGATCACATCTCAAATTCAGAGTATTCACATTTTTGTGGATATTCTGAATTGCCAAAAAGACAAATGTATAGGTCTTAGAGCAAATGAAACCTGAACCCCCATTAAAAATGATGATGATTAAACTGTGGCAGTCATATTTTGGACACATCATGGGAAATGCCACTTGCAACTCAATGCTTGCCAGAGTTCATACAAGCCATCTCTGTGAAGGCAGACACTCCCTCCTTCACTCACAAGCATTTCAAGTATTTCCCAAGGAACGACAGTGATTGCATATTTGCCATTTCAACCTCAACACAAAACATACCTTTTATTTTTAAATCTGACTCCGATTCTTTGAGAGATGAAAATTGTTCTTTGAGGGGTGGATACACACTGCAAGGGAGAACAAAATGGGATCATTGCCTTAACACAGCACTCTTAATCATTTCGAAACAGAGATTTATAGTGGGTCTTTGATATCTTCTGGAGTTTGGTTCCAGAACCCCCATGAATACAAATATCTGTGGATATTCAACTCTCATTACATATGAAGGTGTAGTAAAATGGATCATAATACATTGTGTGGATCATAATAAATTGTGGCAAGTTCTTGGTGGTATGGGCATACCAAATCACCTTGTCTCTCTCCTGAGGAATCTGTATAAGGACCAAGTAGCAACAGTAAGAACTGACCATGAAACAACAGATTGGTTCAAGATTGGGAAAGGCGTACGGCAGGGTTGAGTACTCTCTGGCCAACCTATTCAACTTGTATGCAGAACACATCACGCAATGTGCAGGGCTTGACGAGGTGAAAATTGCTGGAAGAAACATTAACAACCTTAGATATGCAGATGACACCACTTTGATGGCTGAAAGCGAGGAGGAGCCGAGGAGCCTTCTAATCAAGGTGAAAGAAGACAGCGCAAAAGCTGGGTTGCAGTTACACATAAAAAAACCCCAAGATTATGGCAAAAAGAATGACTGACAACTGGGAAATAGAGGGAGAAAACACGGAGGCAGTGACAGACTTTGTATTTCTAGGTGCAAAGATTACTGCAGACGCAGTCTGCAGCCAGGAAATCAGGAGACACTTACTTCTTGGGAGGAGAGCAATGTCCAGTCTCGATAAAATAGTGAAGAGTAGAGACATCACACTGGCAACGAAGATCTGCATAGTTAAAGCAATGGTATTCCCCATAGTCACCTGCGGATGTGAGAGCTGGACCGTAGGGAAGGCTGAGCGAAGGAAGATAGATGCTTTTGAACTGTGGTGTTGGAAGAAAGTTCTGAGAGTGCCTTGGACAGCGAGAAGAGCCAACCAGTCTGTACTTCAAGAAATAAAGCTCGACTGCTCATTGGAGGGAAGGACAGTAGAGGCCAAGAAGAAGTACTTTGGCCACATCATGAGAAGGAAGGAAAGCTTAGAGAAGACAATGATGCTGGGGAAAATGGAAGTAAAAGAGAAGAGGGGCCGACCAAGGGCAAGATGGATGGATGGGATCCTTGAAGTGACTGGATTGACCTTGAAGGAGCTGCGAGTGGTGATGGCCTACAGGGCACTCTGGCATGGGCTGGTCCATGAGGTCACGAAGAATCGGAAATGACTGAACGAATGAACAACAACAAGTAAAATAGTGTCCCTTACATAAAATGGCAAAATGAAAGTCTCCCTTTGGATTTTTAAAAATATATTAAATCCATGTATCGTTGAATCTATGGATACAAAAATCACCTGTACTGCCAGAGCTGGCACTAGAAAAGAAAGCTAGACAATAGACATTATAGCTAGACATTATATATAGCAACATTCTCAATCTTATCTTCAAAATGTCTTAGATTACAGGAAAGATGCAAATGGCAGCAGGTCTTCGATATTCATTGGGGTTTGATTCCAGTACTCAACTGGAAACCAAAATTTGTGGATGTCCCATTACAAAAAAAATTACAAAAAGCTTGCTGTTTTTTAAAACTATTTTAAAGCCATGAGTGGTGACATTTGTGTCAAATCAAAGAATACAGAGGGCCAACTTGAGTTATTTACTTGGGGAAGAGGCAAGATATATGTAGACTGACACTTAGAGAAATAGGCAAAAACTTTTACTATTCTTAGCCAACAGCACCACTGACTATGTTGGCTGGAGATGATAGCTACTAGAGTCCTAATATATCTGGATGGTATCAGGCTAGGGAAACCTGATGTAACTGTTATTGGTGATAAAATATCATGTTTATTTATTAATATTTCATTATTACTTTCCAAACACAACTCTGTAAATAAGATACGTCCTACAATGGATTCTTTTTTAAAAAGAACATAAAAGGAAATGGGGAGAGGCACATTAGGAAGGTAACAGAGAAAGAAAAATGCAAACAGCAGAAAGTTAAAGGAATCCTTTTAAGTTACAAAATTATTGTGAAGTTCAGAGCTTGCCTCTTCACGAAAGCCACTGTTAGTATGCTACGCTCCACCTTGCGACTGGTCTTGAGGTCAACATTGGTGGAGAAAGGAGGATTATTAAAGATGCAATGCGATATTTAGCTGTGGTTGATCAGACTTATCTGTCCATCTGTGTACAAAATTTGTTCTGTACTTCATCAAACTACTGTGACTGAAAACAGAATCCAGGGAGGAGCCAGGCAGATATTGGGGGGGGGGGGGGGGCTGAGCTCTCTATACTCCTCATTTAATTCTCTGGGACAAAGGAAACAAACTTTTATTGTTTACCTTTTTAAGTCTTCGGTATCTTTCTTTGTTCTGATTTTCACAAAATCAGTTTATTTTCTCAAATTCCTTCTAGGAATGGAAAGGATATTCAAAAATTCCCATTTTTTTTTTAGTATCAAGAATCCTGCATTGGTGAAGGTATTCACAGGTTGAGATTAAATATGTGCATAATTTGGATGTAACACAGACACTATATTTCTATGCAGAATTATTATTTCCTGCATACAGAAAATGTTATACTTGGGGACTTATCCTGTGCAAAAAAATGTGTGATTTGTACAAAAACCAGCATTTTGTGAATTGTACAAAATAGCTTCTTCTTCTTTTTTTTTTTTTGCAGAAAACAAGGTTTGTTTACATAGGGAATAATATTTCTGCTCGTAAATGTTATTTCCTAAACAGAAAATAATGGGTTTTGTGCAGAAACACCATGTACAAACCACAATAACACATTTATTTATTTCTCACAGACCCCTCTCTCAAGGCAGGTTAAAACACAATTAAAATACAATAGATAAAAACATATAATCATTTAAAACTCATAGATTAAAACACATATACATAAGATTAAAACACACATTAAAATAATTCAAACCAATAAAATGTCAATTTAAATTTTATAGTTCTAAACTGATTGGACAGGCCTTTAATTCTATTTTAAATTCTGATAGCCCATTTAGCTGATGAATCTCTTCTGGCAGGTCTCTACAGTACAGCTTTCCAAACTCTTTCTGCTGATGACACACTTTTTAGACCTGTATCCTAAAACGGTCATTCAGTTTTACTAGAAAGCCGGTGATTAAGCCAACCTATTATACAAGTTTCATACAATATATTATACAATAGATTCAAATAATCTCTATTGCCTAAATGAGGTTTAGAAATTTCTCCTTGATGCTACTTATGCAATAAAGTTGATTCTTGCATAGTTCTCTCTATGGCCGCTCCATGAGGTTCCTCACAAACATCGGTCAAGAGATAATATGACTGAAAGAAAGTGTTGATGATAGATAGATATGGTTGAGTCCCAAGGGCTATCCAGTTCAACCCCCTTCTGACATAAAGGAAGACAACATCACAGCCCACCTGACAGACGGCCATCCAGCCTTTGCCTCAACACCTACAGAGAAGGTTACCTAATGACATATCATCCAATGGGATGATAGTGGGATGGTCATCTGTCAGGAGGGCTTAAACTATGGTCTTCCTGCCTGGACAAAAGGGGGTTGGGAATCTCTTCTAGTGGGATGGGGTGGGGGCTCTTTGATTGCGACACACCTGTGGAAAGCTCTGCTCTACAGTCTAGGGACAGTTAATGAAAAGATCCTCTGGGTGACAGGTTTCTGAAGAATTAGTTCTGATTTGCAAATATGCTTCACAAATGACACAGCTGTCAAAGTGGAAAGAAAATTGCTAACTTTACTTGTAGATTCCTTCATCAAGAAACTTCATGCTGTATTATTACAGGGTGTCTGCGCCCTACACCACTGGAGAAATTACACTGCTTAGCCGGTATTGCACCACCTGACATCCGCTGGGAACTAGCAGCTAATAGTGAAAGGACCAAGGCAGTGACATCTCCAGCTCATCCCTTGTTTGGGTATCAGCCAGCATGTCAACAACTTAAATCAAGAAATAGTTTTCTAAGATCAACAGAGACACTCGCTGGAACACTCCAGCAAGCGAGAGTCCAAAAGTGGCAGGCCCAAACCCAGCACCTCAATCCATGGGTGATACCAGATGAGAGACTTCCCCCCTGGGCACAAAGAAGACTGGGCGACTTGGAAGGTGCTGAACAGACTGCGCTCTGGCACCAAATTTAAGAAATGGGGCTACAAAGTGGAATCCACGACATGTGAGTGCGGAGAAGAGGAAACCACAGACCACCTGCTGCAATGCAACCTGAGCCCTGCCACATGCACCACGGAGGACCTTCTTGCGGCAACACCAGAGGCACTCCAAGTGGCCAGATACTGGTCAAAGGACATTTAATCAACTACCAAGTTGCAAAATCTGTGTGTTTTTTTATCTGTTGGTTTGTTTTGTTCTGTTAGAAATGTAATACAATGGTATGGTTGCTGATGACACAATAAATAAATAAATCAAGAAACTTCATAAACACCCCATATTCCTATTTGTTGTTTCATGTCCTTGCTCCCTTTCATATGGGTCTCCAGGTACACAAATGACCACAAAAACATGGGACAGGATTGAAAGTTGATCTGGGGTACCATATTTCCTCCCACCTTCCCCACTCATACACATGACAAAGAACAATTGTCACTGGATTTCACTTGCAAGAGACAGTTTTGAATATTAACACCACTACCTGCAGTTCACAATCTTTCATTTTGCAAGCTGCCTCTTGAGTATCTTGATCTAACTGTGTGGCAATCCTCCAAATCAAGGTCACACAGTCTTGAGACAAAACCAGACTGAAGGAATTTGCTTTTTTCTTCATATGCCAGACCTGCTGTGTGTCACAAAACATCTCTAGCTTTAAAAATGGAGGAGGCTACATAAAAATATGAAAATATAAACAAGTAAAAGAAAAGCTTATAGATACACAATATAGATTATCAATAGGAGCAAGAGACACAGTTTTGTTATTGTAGTTCCACCTGTACAGGAAGCAGTGAGAGAAAGACAGACATTACAGTAATAGGATCAAATTGAGATGGAGGTTACCTGGTGCAAATCCATTCCAATATATCCAGGCGGTGGGATGAAGGGGTGCACAGCAACTTCTGTATGTCTTCAGCCTCTGATAAGAAGACACCCTCAAGGGCAGGGCAGCCCAGTTCCTGTAAGGTGATGAGAAGAGAGAATAGTTATTTTCCCCCATTCACCAAAGCTATTATTTCCCTCATGTTCTCTAATGGAAATTCTCCATCATCAAAGGCACCAATTTTCTCATGCATGCCTTCACATACCTATTCAAGGAAATAATTCTACTTCCTGCTCCCAGTGGTAATACATTGAGGAGACACAACCACTGCATAAAAGTGTGGAAAGATCTTCACTCCCAAAATCCAAAGTTGAGGTATGCCCTGCTAAGCATTTATTCAGTCCTATCCAGATCTTTTGAACACAAAAGTTAGCAGAACAACATGACATTAAAATAGTGTGAAGCAGGGATGTGGGATAAGTATTTATCCCATAACCCTGCCTCATATGGTCTTTTCTGTCAGTTTGTTTACTTTTTGGTGTGGAATAAGCCACTCTCTACTGGATAAATTTAGATTCACAACTGGATAAATTTAGATTCAGGCTCAGGCTTGACTAATAAATATTTTTGACACTTTCCAGCTACCCCTTTGTTTTTTCTTAACTCAGAATTTGGCATGACGGAAAGGTAACGTATTTTTCATAGCTGATCCCTAATCCATCTAAAACACAGACAGGTGCTTTTCACCTTAAGAACAGACAAGCATCCCGAGCTCTGAGGATCACCTGGGAAGGAATCCCACTGGAGCATTGCAGCACACCCAAATACCTGGGAATTACTCTGGACCATGCTCTGACCTACAAGAAGCACTGCCTGAATATCAAGCAAAAAGGGGGCTCTAGAAATAATATCACACGAAAGCTGACTGGCATAACCTGGGGATCACAACCAGACACAGTGAAGACATCTGCCCTTGCACTATGTTGCCCATTGTGGAACACATCTCACCATGCTAAAGCAGTAGGTGTGGCTCTTAATGAGACATGCCGCATTATCACGGGGTGTCTGCGCCCTACACCACTGGAGAAATTACACTGTTTAGCCGGTATTGCACCACCTGACATCCGCCGGGAAGTAGCAGCCAATAGTGAAAGGACCAAGGCAGTGACATCTCCAGCTCATTCCTTGTTTGGGTATCAGCCAGCACGTCAATGGCGTAAATCAAGAAATAGTTTTCTAAGATCTACAGAGACACTTGCTGGAACACCTCAGCAAGCGAGAGTCCAAAAGTGGCAGGCTCAAACCCAGAACCTCAATCAATGGCTGATACCAAATGAGACATTCCCCGCTGGGCACACAGAAAACTGGGCAACTTGGAAGGCGCTGAAAAGACTGCGCTCTGGCACCACGAGATGCAGAGCCAATCTTAAGAAATGGGGTCACAAAGTGGAATCCACGACATGCGAGTGTGGAGAAGAGCAAACCACAGACCAGCTGCTGCAATGCAACCTGAGCCCTGGTACATGCACAATGGAGGAGCTTCTTATAGTAACACCAGAGGCACTCCAAGTGGCCAGATACTGGTCAAAGGACATTTAATCAACTACCAAGCCTGAAGAAGAGAAGGCTGAGAGGAGATTTGATAGCCATGTATAAATATGTGAGAGGAAGCCACAGGGAGGAGGGAGCAATCTTCATTTCTGCTTCCCTGGAAACTAGAACGCAATGGAACAATGGCTTCAAACTACAAGAAATGAGATTCCATCTGAACATGAGGAAGAACTTCCTGACTGTGAGAACTGTTCAGCAGTGGAACTCTCTGCCCCGGAGTGTAGTGGAGGCTCCTTCTTTGGAAGCTTTTAAGCAGAGGCTGGATGGCCATCTGTCAGGGGTGATTTGAATGCAATATTCCTGCTTCTTGGCAGAATGGGGTTGGACTGGATGGCCCATGAGGTCTCTTCCAACTCTTTGATTCTATAAGCTTGCAAACTTTGTGTTTTGTTTGTCTGTTTGTTAAAAAATGCAATGTAACTGTTTGGTCTGCTCCTGACACAATAAATACATATATGTGTGTGTCTATGTATACACACACACACACACATACTAGCTGTCCCCTGCCACGCGTTGCTGTGGCCCAGTCTGTTGATCTGGAAAATAAAGGAATGAGAAAGTGTTGGTTTCTAATACATGTAATTTCTTTATGCTTGTGGGTAAACAGTATTTCTTGTTGTTTCTTTGTCAGTGTTGATGTGGAGCGTGTTTGATTTGCGTACTCTGGAACATGCGACATATTGTCCTTATTTAGGGATCCCTTTCAAGCCTATGATACTATATATCTCTCTCTGTGTGTGTGTGTGTGGATCATACCTATCTATCTATCTATCTATCTATCTATCTATCTATCTATCTATCTATCTATCTATATCTATCTATGGCTGGATGGCTCTTTGTCAGGAGGACTTTATGCGTTCTTGCCCTGATGAAGGGAATTGAATTGGATGGCCTTAAGTATTTTCTGTTGGTCGTGGGGGTTCTGTATGGGAAGTTTGCCCTGATTCTGTCGTTTGTGGAGTTCAGAATGCTCTTTGAGTGTAGGTGAACTATAAATCCCAGTAACTACAACTCCCAAATGTCAAGATCTATTTTCCCCCAACTCCATCTGTGTTCATATTTGGGCATATGGAATATTCCTGCCAAGTTTGGTCCAGATCCATCATTGTTTGAGTCTACAGTGCTCTCTGGATGTAGGTGAACTACAACTCCCAAACTCAAGGTCAGTGCCCACCAAAGCCTTCCAGCATTTTTCTGTTGGTCATGGGAGTTCTGTGTGCCAAGTTTAGTTCATTTCCATCATTGGTGGGGTTCAGAATGCTCTTTGATTGTAGGTGAACTATAAATCCCAGCAATTACAACTCCCAAATGACAAAATCATTTTTTTAAGTGATGGCCACTCCTTGTGTTGTGAGATGTTTTGTTGCCAAATTTGGTGTGATTTCGTTAATTGGTTCTTCTGTTTTTAAGGTACTCATTATGCACAGAGCATATAGATAGATAGATAGATAGATAGATAAATAGATTTGGCTGGAGTGATACTTGTTCTGACTTACATACAAATTCAACTTAAGAACAAACCTACAGAGCCTATCTTGTTTGTAATTTGGGGACTGCCTGTATATGCATATAACAATGGTATTTTTTGTGGTTTCTTTTCTTCCACATAGGGAAAAATAGAAGAGAAGGGAGAGAGAAGTATTGAAGAAGTCTGAAAAGATTCACTAGTTTATTGTTGAAGGCTTTCATGGCTGGAATCACTAGGTTCTTGTGGGTTTTTTCGGGCTATAGGGCCATGTTCTAGAGGCATTTCTCCTGACGTTTCGCCTGCATCTATGGCAAGCATCCTCAGAGGTAGTGAGGTCTGTTGGAACTAGGAAAACGGGTTTATATATCTTGGAATGGCTGGGGTGGGGCAAAGAGCTCTTCTCCGCTGTAGCTGGGTGTGAATGTTTCAACTGACCACCTTCATTAGTGTTTGAAGGCCTGGCTGAGCCTGGGAGAATCTTTTGTTGAGAGGTGTTAAGATGTGCCTGGTTGTTTCCTCTCTGCTGTTTTGCTGTTGTAATTTTAGAGTTTTTTAATAACATGGCCATATAGCCCGAAAAAACCCACAAGAACCTAGATTCACTAGTTTATTTTAGCTGGACCGGATTTCCCATTCACTTCTTCAGCAACAATCCAAAATTCAAATTTGCCTCAGGGTCGCCATTCCTCAGAAAGTACCTCAAAGCACACAACAGCAGGAACTAGCCCAAACGTGTCCCCCTTGGAAAAGTCAGCCGAATCTACAGCTACCCCCGCTAATAATACGTTCTCATTTTGTTCTGAGGAGACTCCAGAAAGGCATTACCTGCAGACGTTCATACAGCAATGCAAAAGAAGCTGCTGCCGCCATCTTCCCGCCGGCGCCTAAGCCCCGCCCATGCCCCGCCCATGCCCCGCCCATGCCCCGCCCATGCCCCGCCCATGCCCCGCCCATGCCCCGCTCTTATTGGCTCTGGACTCGGCAATCTAAAAGATGACAGGACACTCAGAACAACACTCCCCTCCCGCCCTAAATGGGTTGGCTTAACTTTCCTTATACCCTGCAGAGAGAACTGGGCTTATTTGTCGTGTCAGGGCAGCCAGTCAAATATATTACATTTGTAACACAATAAAGCAAACAAACAGACAAAGTACAAAATTTGTGAAGTTTGGTAGTTGATTAAATGTCCTTTGACCAGTATCTGGCCACTTGGAGTGCTTCTGGTGTTGCTGCAAGAAGGTCCTCCCTTGTGCATGTGGCAGGGCTCAGGGTGCATTGCAGCAGGTGGTCAGTGGTTTGCTCCTCTCCACACTCGCATATTGAGGATTCCACTTTGTAGCCCCATTTCTGAAGGTTGGCTCTGCATCTCATGGTGCCCGAGCGCAGTCTGTTCAGCGCCTTCCAAGTCGTCCAGTCCTCTGTGTGCCCAGGGGAGAGTCTCTCATTTCGTATCAGCCATTGGTTGAGGTTCTGGGTTTAAGCCTGCCATTTTTGGACTCTCGCTTGCTGAGGTGTTCCAGCGAGTGTCTCTGTAGATCTTAGAAAACTATTTCTAGATTTAAGTCGTTGACGTGCTGGCTGATACCCAAACAGGGGATGAGCTGGAGATGTCACTGCATTGGTCCTTTCACTATTGGCTGCTACTTCCCAGCGGATGTCAGGTGGTGCAATACCGGCTAAGCAGTGCAATTTCTCCAGTGGTGTAGGGGGCAGGCACCCCGTGATAATGCGGCATGTCTCATTAACCCACGCGCTCTCTTCGTTCATCCGGAGAGGCCCTGCTCGTGATTCCGCCAGCATCACAGCCGCGTTTGGTGGGGACGTGAGACAGGGCCTTTTCTGTGGTGGCCCCCCGACTCTGGAACACCCTCCCCAAAGATCTTAGGCAGGCCCCTACATTGGCAGTCTTTAGAAAGAACTTGAAGACCTGGCTGTTCCGATGCGCCTTTCCAGAATAGGAATTTCCAATAACGTCCCAGAAGCACTTTATTAGAACTAAGATTGCCGCACACTGCACACTGCACTTGCCCTATAATCCTTAAATATCACCTGTCACATCAACACTTTTAATCCTGTACCCATTACTCTGGCCCGGCCCAGTTTTATTGTGTCTTGATGTATTGTTTATTGCTTGTTTAATATTGCTTTAATTGTTTTTAATTTGCTTTAGGTGTTGTATTGTTATGTTGTGTTTTGAGGCCTTGGCCTTTGTAAGCTGTATCGAGTCCTTCGGGAGATGCTAGCGGGGTAGAAATAAAGTTAATAAATAATAATAAATAATAAATAAATTAAGAGCCACATCCACTGTTTTAGTGTGGTGAGATGTGTTCCACACTGGGCATGCATACTCAGCAGCAGAGTAGCACAGCGCAAGGGTAGAATGTCTTCACTGTATCTGGTTGTGATCCCCAGGTTGTGCCAGTCAGCTTTCGTATGATATTGTTTCTAGCACCCACTTTTTGCTTGATGTTCAGGCAGTGCTTCTTGTAGGTAAGAGCACGGTCCAGAGTGACTCCCAGGTATTTGGGTGCGCTACAATGCTCCTGCTTCAGGAAAGGCAAAAGCTGCACATCGCAAGTGCTGAACCTGACTCAGCACATAGAAGATGGCTTTGAAAGGCAGCAGATCACAGGAGATGTCTTCATAGACCTGTCAGCAGCCTATGATACTGTGAACCACCGCCTCCTCCTGAGAAAAATGTATAATATCACAAAGGACTACCATCTCACCCGCCTCATAGGAAACCTGCTACAAAACAGGAGCTTTTTTGTTGAGTTCCAGGGCCAGAGAAGCAGATGGCGGAAACAGAAGAACGGCCTGCCTCAGGGGAGCGTGCTTGCTCCATCCATGTTCAACATCTACACAAATGACCAGCCACTGCCAGAAGGGACAGAGAGCTTCATCTATGCTGATGATCGTGCCATTACTGCTCAAGCAGGGAGCTTTGAGATGTAGAACAGAAGCTCTCTGAAGCTCTAGGTGCTCTTACTGCCTATTACAGGGAAAACCAGCTGATCCCTAACCCATCTAAAACACAGACATGTGCCTTTCACCTTAAGAACAGACAAGCATCCCGAGAACTGGGCTAAACCAAAGGAACAAGGGAGACTGGATTGACCCTGAAGGAGCTGGGAGTGGTGACGGCCGACAGGGAGGTCTGGCATGGGCTGGTGCAAGAATCATAGAATCAAAGAGTTGGAAGAGACCTCCTGGGCCATCCAGTCCAACCCCCTGCCAAGAAGCAGGAATATTGCATTCAAATCACCCCTGACAGATGGCCATCCAGCCTCTGTTTAAAAGCCTCCAAAGAAGGAGCCTCCACCACACTCCGGGGCAGAGAGTTCCACTGCTGAACGGCTCCCACAGTCAGGAAGTTCTTCCTCATGTTCAGATGGAATCTCCTTTCTTGTAGTTTGAAGCCATTGTTCCGCGTCCTAGTCTCCAGGGAAGCAGAAAACAAGCTTGCTCCCTCCTCCCTGTGGCTTCCTCTCACATATTTATACATGGCTATCATATCTCCTCTCAGCCTTCTCTTCTTCAGGCTAAACATGCCCAGCTCCTTAAGCCGCTCCTCATAGGGCTTGTTCTCCAGACCCTTGATCATTTTAGTCGCCCTCCTCTGGACACATTCCAGCTTGTCAATATTTCTCTTGAATTGTGGTGCCCAGAATTGGACACGAAGAGGTACCGAAGAGTCGGCTGAACGAATGAACAACACAAAAGGCACTGACCTATACCTGCACATGGAAGTTTTCACTCTATGCAGTTACGGCATTATATACTTCATGGCAACATTTGTGCTCTTTTCAGTTATCTTTGAAAGAGGACGCAATCAATGTACTGTCGAAGGCTTTCATGGCCGGAATCACTGGGTTGTTGTAGGTTTTTCCGGGTTATATGGCCATGTTCTAGAGGCATTCTCTCCTGACGTTTCACCTGCATCTATGGCAAGCATCCTCAGAGGTTGTGAGGTCTGTTGGAACTAGGAAAATGGGTTTATATATCTGTGGAATGATCAGGGTGGGACAAAGGACTCTTGTCTGCTGGAGCTAGGTGTGAATGTTTCAACTGACCACCTTTATTTATTTTATTTTTATTTCAAGCATTTCTACCCCGCCCTTCTCAACCCCCAAAGGGGGACTCAGGGCGGCTTACAAAAGGCACAATACGATGCCAGCAATACACATAGTAAGATAAAATACATAGCAGCAACAATTATAAAATAATTAAAACAATCCAATTATACAATACAATTAATAAAAATCAAACTAATGATCAACGTTCGCCAAGCTCAAAATCCGTAAGTTCATTCCGCATTGTCATAATCCTATCCAGTTCTAGTCATCATTGTCCTTTGTCTGTCTGCCAAATTACCCAAAGGCCTGGTCCCATATCCATGTTTTTAGTTTCCTTCTAAAAGAGAGGAGGGATGTCGATGACCTAATTTCCTCGGGAAGCGAATTCCACAGGCGAGGGGCCACCACCGAGAAGGCCCTGCTCCTCGTCCCCACCAATCTCACTTGTGATAGGGGTGGGGCCGAGAGCAGGGCCTCCCCAGAAGATTTTAAACTCCGAGACGGGACGTAGAAGGAGATGCATTCGGACAGGTACGCTGGGCCGGAGCCATATAAGGTTTTGTAGGTCAAAACCAGCACTTTGAATTGTGCTCGGAACTGGATCGGCAGCCAGTGGAGCTGACATAACAGGGGGGTGGTATGCTGGTTGTCCACATGCTTGTGGATTTCAGTGGCTTCCCTGTGTCGTCTGACATGTTGGTTGTTAGAGTAGTCCAGCATTTCTGTGTTCTCAAATAATATGCTGTGTCCAGGTTGGTTCATCAGGTGCTCTGCTATGGCTGACTTCTCTGGTTGAAATAGTCTGCAGCGCCTTTCATGTTCCTTGATTCGTGTTTGGGCAATGCTGCGTTTGGTGGTCCCTATGTAGACTTGTCCACAGCTGCATGGTACACGGTAGACTTCTGCTACCAGTATTAAAAAACTCTAAAATTACAACAGCAAAACAACAGAAAGTAAATAATCAGGCACATTTAATCACCTCTCAACAAAAGATTGCCCCAGGCACTGCCAGGCCATCAAATGCTAATCAAGGTGGTCAGTTGAAACATTCACACCTAGCTTCAACAGACAAGAGTCCTTTGTCCCACCCCAGTCATTCCACGGATATATAAACCCATTTTCCTAGTTCCAACAGACCTCACTTCCTCTGAGGATGCTTGCCATGGATGCAGGCGAAACGTCAGGAGAAAATGCCTCTAGAACAGTGATGGGCAAGCTTTTGAGCTTGGTGTGTCAACATTTGCCAAAAACCTGAGCATAACTTGAGTGGGGGTGTCACTTCAAGGAAAAAAACCATAATCAGTGCTGACACGCGTGTCATAGGTTCACCATCACGGCTCTAGAACATGGCCATATAGCCCGAAAAAGCCTACAACAACCCAGTGATTCCAGCCATGAAAGCCTTTGACAATACATAATAACATATGTTTTAAAAAAATTAATAAGTCCTGGCTAATAGCACCTGGTATTAATTGGTGGTCTCCCATCCAGGAGCTGCCCAGGGCTGACCCTGATGACCTTCCAAGAACAGACGGATGCAGTCTCTGTAATATATTTTAGGCTGACAAAGAAAGACATAAATGTCCCAATGAGCACAAATAAAATGGTTTGCAACATTACAAAAACAAATAGTTGAATTCTCACTTTAGATCAGTCTAAAAGGCACTGATCTATACCATCACATGGGGACTTTTCACACTATGCAGTTACGACATTATACACTTCAACTGCCATGGCAACATCTGTGCTCTTTTCAATTATATTTGAAAGAGGACACAATCAATTAATCTATGATTGCCACCTGTAGCACTAAT